ATGATTAAAATTAATTATTATTTTAGATTAATAAATTAATAAAAAAAATTATGATAATAATCACTTATTATTTAATGATAAAAATTAATTATTATTTTTTATTAATAAAATACTGAAAAAATAAATTATGATAATGAAAGATAAGATTTTAACTCTTATTTTGATATTGAATAGATTCATTCTTTTATACTTTATATATTAAATTATTATATTTAAAATAAAAAATAATTTCATTAATATAGTTTAAATTTTAAAAATATTTTTATTTTTTAATTAATTATTTTAGTATATATATATATGTTAATTTTTTTTTAAATTCAATCATGTCAAAATTAGAACATTAGGTCAGACTAAATTAAAAGATTGTAACACTTTCTTCTTATATTTCCATAATTAAATTAAATCATATTTTATTCTTATAATTATCTTCGAATTTATAAGTATTGATTTCTAAATTTAAAACTTTGAATGATTGACTTTTAACCCCTGCTAAAACATTTGTATTCTTCCTTCCATTATTTAAAAGATTGCAAGAAACATTAAGAATTTTCAAATATTTTTAAGTTGTATAAATATTTTACCATGTACATTATTCGCACAACAAAATTTTTTTTGTTGAAAACTCGATATGGGGATTGAGAATGTAGTTCTGGATATTAAGAATAAAGTTCCAAAAATTTTGGAAGATGCTTCATAAAGTGGGTTCCAAAATAATTTTTATAATTAATTTTGTGGAAATATATTATGAATCAGTGGGTCTAGAATACACTTCCGAATTTCACCAAAAATATATCTCGGATCCATCAATCAATCGGAATGCATGTCTGAAAAATCAATTCTAAAAATGTATTACAAAACTCACTTTTCAGAATGTTTCCAAAATATATTGTCTAAAATATATTTTTAGATTGAGTATTCCGAATACGCATTTTAAAATATTCAATCCAAAATATATTTTTAAATTAGTTTTTTCAAAAATACATTTTAGAATAGATATTCAAAAATATATTTTAAATTGAATATTTCATAATTTATCTAGTTTCAACTCAATGTACAATTTTAATGTATAAATATGTAATAGATATATAATATTAATGATTTCTTTAAGTACTAGATATCATGAATAGAGATAATAGTCCAAGAAACTATGTCTACATATATATGTACCTGCAAAACTTTCGTAGGAAAATAGGAGAAATGATTAGGATTCGAAACAAAAATGATTAAAAAGACATTTTAATTATTTTACTTGAATATGAAAGTACATGGAGAAAGTATGGAGTTGCAAGGGAGAACGTATCAACATTTTGATTCATTTTAAAATAAAGAAAAATTTAGATAATTTAGATCACAAATTGGGTTTGATAATTCTAATATAAAGTATTAATATTAATGTCCAATATTTAAAAAAATTATTTTTTATTACTTCTTACCCAAACTAATAACCAAGCTAAAACAATTATTAAGACTTTAGATACATTACTCATAATCATTTTAAAGAAAGATATTAAGTTTTAAAAAACTTGGTTATCCTATCTTGAGTTTATTTATAATAAAGTTGTCTATTATATAACAAATTATTCACGCTCTAAAATTGTGTGCGAAAGAAACACGTGTTAATTTTTTTACTTTTATACCTAATATTTATATATTTAAGTAACTACATGAGTCATGAAGACTTAAATTAAAAAGAACAAAGACTCAAATTAAAAAAAAAATTGAAATTATGATAAATTTACATGAATTTTAACATTGATATATATGAGATACAAATACAAACTTGTTTATATTACGGCAGTTTTTGTAAAGAAAAATATTTTCATTTTTTTTTATTCTTTTTCTTGTCTATTTGTGTGTTTTTCTTTTTATCACTTTATAAAAAAAACATAAAAATAAAAAATTGTATAAAATTAACCAAAAAGATTTTCATTTAAGTCTTGTACATAAATTCTTTTAATTCTTCCTTTTAAGTTAAAATTAAACAGCTCAATTATTTATAAAAGATAAATAATGTTGAGTGTATTCTTTTACCAAAGATTTACCAAAACTGAAATGAGTTGGTAGAGAATATTAATTAATATTTTTCAACTTAATTTAATTTTACACATTTTAAATGTATTTAACTTTAGACACAGATACGGGAGAAACTAGAATCTTAACATTAATATCCAATTATTTAAAAATAAAATATATAACAATAATAGGTTCCGCACCCTTCTTCTTTTTTTCTTTTTTTTTTTCAACTGTGGAGCAAGATCCACCACTGTAGTCCATTATAATTACTTGATAAATTTAGATGATAAAAATTTGTCAAAAAATATCATACTAGAATTAAATAATTATAAAAAATATGGAATAACATATATTAAGGAAAATTTGATTTGAATTTTATTACATGATAAGAAACATATCACGTTATAATTTTGATCCCATTTTTTGTTTTCTAAATATTGTCTTGAGATTTTTTAAATTTCACAACTTCCATTCAACCCTCAATTTTCAACATGTTGTTTCGGGTGGAAATTTTGGTAGATTTCGATTTCTCAGATACTTAGATTCTAACCAAATTTCAACTATGTAGATTCTTTTTACTTAGGCTAGCAAACGGTTTTCAATCAAAACATGTATGAGAATCGAAAATATCACAATATCGAGCTGAATGAAAGATAAAACATGCACGTATATTAAAAACATGAAAAGTGTGATAAAACATGCATATCAAAATCAAAAGTACTATTTTTGGTATTTTTTATTAAGAAACACGAAGTAAAGAAAGCAGTAAAGGGTATCGAAATGAAAAGCAATACAGAAAATTAAATTGCAGAGAAACGTAAATGCGGAACCTTAAAATTGTATTAAGTGTAAATGACAAGGAATTGAAATTACAAAAATGTAAATAACAGGAATTTGAAATTGCAGAAGTGTAAATAACAAGAAACTTAAACGCATAATCTTAACTTAATGACAAGGAACAGAAACTTAAAGTTAATAAACATAAATTGCATGAAAGTAAATTACATGAAAGTAAATTACCAGTGAAAGTAAAGAAAGCGATAAAGACAATCAATGAAAATGAAAATCCAGAGCGCCAAAAATTTCATGATTCGTCCTTCTCCTGTAGACTTTTCACTTGTGTTTTTGTTGTCTCTGTCAATTTCCCGTTTTCCTTCAAACTTCGCTCTATTTATAGAGTATATTTCAGGTAACCTCCTAAGAGCAGTTAAAAAACTGCTACCACGTTCCATGTGCACATCCCTCGATTTTTACCTTAGCCTACGGTTTAGAAAACCGCTTCCACGTTCCATGTGCGCTTTAACCATTCATCGATTTCTAACTTAGTCACAACTTGGAAAGCCGCTTCCATTGTTCCATGTGCATGATAACCGTTCCCCTCGATCTCAATTCCAGATATTGAGTACTTTGAATTGCTTCTGATTTCCCTTAATCTTAATTTTACACTCAATACTTTATTATCGATTTCTTACTTTCATCGAATTTCCTCTATCTTCTGATTCTCGATTTCCTTTAGCAATAGCCATCGAACCCTCTTCTTTCGATTCTCGATTCTCATTCTCGACTTTCTTCAGCAATAGTCATCGAATCTTTTTCTTTCGATTCTTGATTCCAATTCTCGATTTCCTTCAGCAATAGTCATTGAATCCTCTTCTTTCGATTCTCGATCGATGTTTTCATACTAATACATGGTCACCGAATGTCTTCCAACCATCTTTTCGATTTATCAATTTTTCAACTAACATATAATCCTCGATTTTCTTCCATCCGCTTTTCGATCCATGTATCGATTTTTCCCACCAACATATGTATATTTCTTTTATATTTTATATATTGATTAATTAAACTATTTTAACTACATGTTAAATAAATGTTAGGTCTACTATTGAACTAAAAAATATATACAAAATTAAGAAGTTAATAAAATTGTGAATTTTCTAAGATGAAGGTTTTTAATAGAAAAAAATGCTAATTAATTACTAAGACAGGAATAAAATTATAATTTAGGTAAGAATTTTCAACGTATACGTTTTTATCTTACCCTCTCCTCTACTTTAACAAATCAGAATAATTAAGTTTCATTCGAGTATTAAATTAAATATATTTTAAATTCTTATAATTTACTTAACTTTGATTTTTCATACATTCAAATTATATAATAATTTTGTTATTACTAGTCTTTTAATATACAAAATTATTCATTCTATTAATGATTGTTAAGTTAATTCATAATAATAATGAACATTAGTCTAACATTTTCATAATTATAAAACTTAAGTTTTAATCAGTATACATGTGTTTTAAGAGTAAGAGGTTGAAGGGTTTACTTGGCTTGAAAGTTTACTTATATAATTTGTCTTATTTTGAAGGTATGTTGTTTGATAGATTAAGCTAAACTTTCAACCTCTTAATCTTTATTTGGGTTTATATGCTAAAATGTTTCTTGTGATTATATTTCAACCAAATTTGGAAAAAAGTTTATTTTAAAAAAAGATTAAAATAAAAAATTGTTAAATATAAGAGTCAAAATATATACTAATAAAAAAAACTTAATATTACATACAATTATTTCTGTTTTTATTTATTTTTTAAATGAACAATACTTGGAGTGAAATAGTAAAACTTTATCTTCTTATTTGAGAACTATAGTCTCTGAAATATCTTGGTTTCTCAATTTAATAAGACATGGTGAAAGAAAGACAAAAGCATAGTGAGATATACTAATATAATAAATTAAAATAATAATGAAGGAAATTAATTTCCAAAATCATGAAAATCAAGTTAATGGGAGGAATTACATGATTTTAATAAGTATTAGCAATTTTGGTAACTGAAGGAGACGATTTGAATTCCGAAAGCATCAAAATCGGAGCCCTAAAACGAGAGTGCAATACAACGTCCCGACCCGAATCGAAGCACAACCTGACCATGTAAGATCGAAGCTGAAGAACAGGTCCAGAAACAAGCAAGAAAGAATTGTAACCTCGATGGCGATCATGACGAGGAAGCGGCGGCGCATGATGGCGGAAGCGGCGGCGGTGGCGATGACAGCGGTCCTGCCGGAGGATCTTATGATCGAGATCCTGGCTAGGGTTAGGGTTAGCAACCCCTTGCAATTGAGATGCGTGTGCAAGCGGTGGAAATCGTTGGTGGTGGATCCCCAATTCGTGAAGAAACACCTCCACAAATCGTTCTCAGACATCACGGATCTTGCCTCCAAAGCCATGGAGGATATGAATGCGTTTCAATTGCAGCTCAATTACGCCCCTGCATTTGCTGAACAACAGCAAGAAGATGAAGAAGAAGAAGAAGAAGAAGAAGAAGAAGGCGAGGAGGGAGATGAAGAAGAAGGAGAAGAAGAAGAAGAGGAGGAGGAAGAAGAAGATGCGCATTCGTTGGTGAACGAGTTGGCTCAGTTGGATAACATGTTGGTGGTGGTTCGTTCTCTCAAAGGGAGTTTGGAAACGATCAAGGTTGATGTGCAAGCCATCAAGGAGAGAGTGAAGTGTCTTCAGAGTTTTCTGCAAATTTATCTCAAGACAACAGCTTCTTCTTCTTCTTCTAATTCGCACTCTATGTGATTCTCCTTTGCCTCTACTCTTTCTTCTTCTTCTTTTCTTTTTTTCCTTTTTAATATTGCAACTTTTGATTTATAAATAACTTCACAGGGTTGCCTCTTCTTTTTTTTTTTGAAAAAGAAAATTATTTGGAGTAAATTATTTGGGAGTTTTGATGCCATTGTTTGTGTTCAGAGATGGGTCATGTGGAATTAGTCTTTTTTATTTGTTTATGTGTTTAGTCAGTTGAAAATGAAGAACAGAACAAGTTTGCTTCCTAACATGGTGGCATTGCTGGAACAAACAACACATTACACACCCATTCTTGCTCTGGTTCAATGTGAATTTTAAATTATTTTGTTTCTGCGCTAATTCTGAAGATAGTGGGGTCTATGCTAGAAATGTATTTTTCTAATGTCTTCACACGCATTGTTTAATGACTTCAATATCTGATGTGATAAATGATGACTAGGAATTTATCATTGTTGCTACCTGCATTGTAGAATTTAAATCATGTGCTCATTCTCGTGCACATGTTCAACTTTTACTGCACTATACTTTGATTCTGCCTTGGAAAAGGAACATCAACCCTAATAAATAATTGTCTTCCCCATCCAAAACAAGGAAATGCTTCAAAATACCACACAAATTCCCACTCCTTGCTAAAATGGGGTGCCTTAACCAACTGATGGCTATTTCATCTTCACCATCCATTGAGTTTTTAATACTTAAAATCATGCGAGGTTTTTCCTGTGATTCCATTTTAAACTGTATCACATGCAGAGATTTCTGTAATATTTAACAATGTATTAGCAAGTGAGAAAATAAGATTTTATCTTTTGTTTATTTATTTATTTATTTATTTTTATTTTTTTTGCTATGGCTATTGCATATTTGATTTGTGGTAAAAAGGGTTCCCAGTAAATCAAAAGCAATGATGTTTTTGCTTCCTTCTTTTTGGGTTTGATATGAATTTCATCTATAAATCACATCTCAATCAGTCTGATATGTAAAGGTACTTTAATTAAAATTAATTAGACTTTTATTTTGTACATTTGTGTATGTTAAAGAAGTCAAATTTAAAGGCGATATCACAAAAAAGTTCCATACATTTACAATGGCAAAAGGAACACATGGAGAGATTAAACTAGATATACTTTAAAGGATAACATATATTTTTACTATAAATTTCAATTGCAAATATAACAAAATTTTAAATTAGCAATAGTAAGAAGTACTGTTACTTTAATTAATGGTAATTAGTTCACTTTTTCCTTTCAATTACACTACTCGAGCTTTAAAATGACAAGTTGTAAAATTAAAATACAGAGTAAAATAATGTTGTAGGTTTGTTTCCACTTTTCTTCGTGTTTGTGGTGAAAAAAAGAATAAGTTATTTTTTCATCAGGCTCGGACTCTTTCACCTTCTAATACACGAATATATTCCTTTTCGCGTTGCAATAGTTTGTACGGAAATAGCATTAATAAGAGAACGTCAATGAATTGGCTCGATATTCCATTTGTTTTTAAAATCGAACTAGTTAATATACCGGTCTATATTTATTGGTAGAACCCGTAGTTGAATAGTGGTTAAACCAATATTAACAAAATAATAATAATAATTAAATTATATATAAACTAATATTAGAGAAACATAATACCATAATTTAATAATATTAAAATCTAAAAGAACACATTATATAAGATTTTAATCTTTAAAATACATATAAAATAAAATATTTAATGATATTTAGATTTAAGTTTTAATAATATATAAATAACAATTTTTTGAAAAAAAAATTACATACTTTTTTTTTCATTTTGAGAAAAATAAAAATAATGACTGGATAATTTTTTTTTTTAAATTGTTAAACCATTCTGAATAAAATTTTCCGAATTTTAACCATTTCAATTCGTATGGTTTAAATGGCCTGAACACTGAAATTTCTGGGTTAGTCTATTAGAGTTCTTACAACATGGTTTATAATGTAGGTAACACTATGTCGGAAATCATATAACTGAAGCAATGGTGAAATGAGGGCGAATATGGCAAATGAAATTGGGTCTGGTTAAACCATATCTTAGCTTAGATGAAGGTTATAGATACAAAATTTTCCATTCTAATACGTAGTACATGTCAAACAAAACTGTTAATTCAAAATACTGCACAATTTTATAAACAAGGAAGTTAAGTAATGTACACGTGATCCTAAAGGCGAGGTGAGGGTGCCCTCAGAATAGAGAAAATGTTTATTTATATTCTCCAGAGTCAATTATGAGCTCAGCTGCAGCAGCCATTGTGCCTACCCCACCAACACCCAGCAAAGCAAGAGCAAGCTCCTCCTCGTTCAACTGCCTCAACCCATTGCTCAGTCTCTTCAACACATGCACATCTACTTCCAGCACCCAGTTAGGTGTGCAATCTACCATCAAACTCACAAAACCTGACACATAGGCACGCCAAGTAGCTGAGTCACAGCCTAGTGATATCTTACCATCAAGTGCACTAGCCAGAAACTCCATGTGAGTACCCAAAACCTTCGGACGTCTCTTTGAAGCTGAGGATGACGAATCAACTCCCCAAGCAAAAGCACCGCAGAGAACTGCAAAGTAAGCAAGTGCATATCCACCAAGCATTGCAACCATTCCACCTGACTTTTCTTCCTGGTCAAATCTCTGAACAGATATAAACCAGGATGGCAAAGTTTCTTTTATTAATAATTGAACCAGCATCAAACCTCCCGATATCCATACTAAAGAGGCTCCAAGGGCAGCAGCAAGCTTCACCCGAGTCATTGATGCCGCCACTGAAGCCTGCCCATATTTTATGCCATCTTTGGTTGCTTTCAACTTCTCCAATCGCTCCCTTGGCAACCCACTGCATACAATTTCCCTCACAGAGTGCATTAAGATGGAAACAATTTCTTCTGTCAAGAAAACAACATCTCTGATTGACCGATAAGCACGTAAATAGAGGATTCCTGGAGCAACGGGGCAAAGCCCTCCACATAAATGGTACTTAAATCCATGTCCAAGTAGGGCTCCAACACCACCATTGCAAGATATAGGAGAGGTATTCACACCAAGGGTAGCCGTGAAGCAGCTTTTTAGAAGTTGAACTACCGCGTCACTGTTGTGAAGGAAGACAGTTCTAGATGCTGAGAAGATGAGGAAGTCACTCCAACGTTTAGCCTTTAGGGTCCACAAGGAAGCCACAATTGGCATGCAAGGCCATGGACAACCTGCAGCGAGGCTCTCCAATGTTTGGCCTGCCAAATTAAGAAAACGCTCTGATGCCTTATCAACTTTGTAGGTTATGGTTAGGCTTGTGAAGGCAGCCAAGGGTAATGGAAGTGTGGCAGGAGAGCTATCTCCTGTGAAAATGACGACCATTGATCAAAATACTAAACAACAACTTAATAATAATGTTGGGAGAGAAAGAAAGATGGAGGAAGACATTAGCTAAACGGCAGCAGTTGGTATTAATACTCATTCAAGCAGCGTAAAAGACAAACTTAGAAAAAATTGTAATGAACCATGAGTTAAAAATATAAATTTTCTCTGTTGAAAATGCATTATGAGTCGGAATATTAAGAAGTATATAGATATTAGGGTCATAACAATGAGAAAACCTGAAGCTAGGCTAGGCACATCGACTCCAGTTGCAGCCAAAATTTTCTTGATCTGTGCCTCAACGTTCAGTAGATTTGCAGCGGGGCTAGGCCAATCTGTTCCATTCATAAATACAGGTTTCCAAACTCCTCGAGTTACTTCGGCAGAGAAGTAACTTATTATGGTTGCCAGAGATGCAGGAAGAAAATCAGCTAAATCTTTAAGCCCTGATAGTAAGAAAAGCATTTTGGTATTATTCTATTGTTGTGTACATCAAGGAACATATACATGAACAAGAATTTGGTTGTTCTTGCTCTATATCTAGAGGTAAATACATCAGAGCAAGAATTTTGAAACAGACTGAGATACCTTCAAACTATGCCAACAGCCAGTTAGATTTTATTTGATAATTTAGAATCACAAGCTGAACAAGCTATGTGGTGTGTTCCAGTGCATTTTATCTGATCCAAATACACATACCTGTTGCCAACTCACGTGGAGACAATCTTCCATGAGCACAGGCTGTAAGAGCAGCATCAACTACAAAGGGAATGGCTTCAAGAATATCCCATGCAGGCAACTTTGGCCCTACAGAGGCATCTTCATTTGCAGGTCCAGAAGAGCTACTGCTTCCAGATGTAATAGTAGTTTGACTTCCTCTATTAATTTTTCTGAACATCATGTTAAGAAGCCCCTCAACAATCTGATGAAATGGGGTTCCATGTACAAGACCAGAGAGTGTTGAGGCTATACATGCTTGATGTTGCCTATACCACACTTTTAATTTTGGAAAGGAGTCAACAAATACAGAATTTGGGGATGATAAACTTGCTATTTCTGAGAGTCTCCTCCTGTTACGATCTTTTTGGATGTTACTAGCTGACATTAAGTGGGAATTACGTACTAAAAGTAAGTATTCAGGAGTTAATTGAGAACCAACAGTAGGTACATCTCCAATTCCATATTCAAGAGGAGGACGATTAAATCTCCATAGCTTTAAAAGAAGAATAAATGCATTTGAAAACACAGCATGGGCAGATATTTCTTCCCCTGATGTTAGTGTCCATGAGATATTCGGCACACATGACCCAAAAACTTCACAGATTGGCATCAATGAACATGCAAGCTGTGGAACCTGGTTGGAGAATTGGGAAAGGCATTAATTTTAGTAACAATCCTATCTTGTGTATATATACAAGGGCCCTATACAAGGTAAACATCTATATAAGGCATAAACAACAAATTTTCCTACTGAATATTTCTTAATCAGTTGTCTTTTAACCTAGTTATAGCAAGAAACGAGGACATAAGCCTGCTGCTCCGTTTAGTAATAGGCCAGATGCAGTCGGAGGAGAAGATTGGAAAGCGACCAAGAAGAAAGGGATTGAATATTTAGGAATTGAATCAAACTTACCAAGCCATGCAACGAAAATATTTGAACACAATCAACAGATGCAATTCCAACAAAGAGTACGTTAAGTATCGGAGCATAATTAATCAAATAGTTGTTTCCTTCAGTCTTTTCTGCAGGAACCGGTGGAGACAACAACCTAAGAATGAAATGCACAGTGTGTTCCTGCAATAATAGAGATCCGAATTCTATTAAGATGGGAAGTTGGTTAGAGATCTAAATTCTACTGAGCAAATTATTGAAGTTTTGATATGCTCTACTGTCTAACTCTTCACTACCTGTATATTCCAGCCACGAATTAGGGATGCTCCGCAAAGAATGGCAGCGGCAGATATCTTTTCATCTTCTGATCCCCCAATTGCAATTCCAAAAATTTTCTCCAGTTCTGCTAAGCTTCCATCAAATCCAGGAGCGTAAATTCAGTTGCTTTACCTTTTGGTAAATTTACAAAAAAGAGCATCTGACATACCTGGCTTCAGGAAAGAAAAAGAAAAACTGAAGACCAGGCAATGAAATTTTATTAAGTAATTTATATTCTACCCACTTATAGTCACTCTTGTTATGTTATAAATTCAGTTTATGATTAATTGTTGTTGAGTTCAGTAAATGATCTCATGTTTCGGCATGTTAATTTATCCAGACCGATGCATTAAACGTGAGAATAAAAAGAAACCTTCACTTGACTCATGATAGATTTCCCTGAAACAAATTTACAAAGAGGTTGTGCCATTTGAAAAAGGTTAGCATTTTCAACTGTCAAGATCACTTGGTTGAATACGACTATTTTGTGTTGGCGGTTTCATGTGCGAGTTTAATACATGGGCACTCTTTATTTTTAAACACCTAAACAACATCTACAATCTTTCTCTATCACTCTCTTCCGATCACATCATATAATCTATAATACCTATAGTTTTCTTCTCTCACTCATGTTTGGGTGTCACCTAATATTTGAGGTGTTCATGAATCATTTGTCTTACTCTTATGGCCTGTTTATGACAGTGTTTCAAAAATAAAAACTTCCAAAAAATTAGTTTGGTAAAGGTCATAGCAGTGTGGCTATGGCCTACGAAGAGGGAGAGCACAATTTATATACAAGAACACATTTGCCAAAAATTAGAGCATTGCAAGTGCCAATAGGCATGGCAACCGTGGGGGGTGGCTTTTGCCTCCCTGACACCCCCCCCCCAACGACTTTTTTGAACTATTCCCAACCTCGTCTCGGATCTCTATCGAAATTAGAAATTAAGTGTTTGTCCCGTCTACATTGAGTTTTGGATTTCTGTGCACCGGTCCTCGATTTATTAAAAAAATAATTATACTTATAATAAATTAATTTTATGTATTTTTTATACATAAATAAATATTTGTAATTTTACAATTTATAATTATTATTAATTAAATATATTTTTTAATTTATTATATTTATATTAAAATATATATGTAAAAGAACATTTAATCATTTTTCTTTATACAAGTATAAAATACTTATATCATTATTATTATTATTATTATTATAACATTGTATTCAAATATTTGATTACATATATAAGTTAAATTTTTTTTTAAGTTGTCATTTAAAAATCTGAAATATATAGTTTATAAGAAAATATTTAATAAGTTAATTCTTATTTAATTAGTTTAAAGTAATAAAAGTTTAAATTATTAATTTTTTTAATCCTTTAAAATACAATTATTTTATTAAGATAAAATTTGATATATGATAAATAAGAATAGTAAGATCCAAAAAATATGGCATAATAAAACTTAATAAAGATAAATTATAAATAAAATAATATTAATTACTATTAAGATTTATGTAAAATATTTAAAAAAAGATAAAGAAAAAAATTAACTTTGTGTTCGTCAAATTGGTTAAAAAGATTGACAAAAACAAATTGATTGGAAAGATTAAGAAAATGTGAAAAAGTGAAAGATAAGAAATAAAATAATGTAATGAACTAATTGATATAAAAGATTAAAAAAGACAAAAGAATTAAAAGGTTGGTAGAAAAAAAGTATAAATGTTAAAGTATCAAAAAAATGACCTTATATATAATAAAAAAAAATTTAATTTAAATTTAGATATAAAGTCGAGGTGGTGACGAGGTGGAGATTGCAGTACTCATCCCGTCCCTACCCCCGACTTTTTAAGATGGGAAAACCTGAACTCACCCCGCCCCTGTCCCACCCCCAATCAACTCGGTTTTTTCCGTCAAATTCGGGACGGGAACAAACAGGTCCCACACGGATACGAGTTTAATTCTCATATGCCAACATGTACATAAGCCAATTGAATGAATAGCCAAAATTAGATCATACCATGTAGCAGGACTTGAAACCAAAGCATTAACCATCCCTGTAGTAAGTGGAGCTCCCTTCATAAATGATGACCAGCCAGGTACTTGAGCTGGCATACACTGAGGTATTTGATTGATATGTCCATTTACATAACCTGGCCATAAGTATGCAGATGTGTCCAGTAGATTGCGGGCAATGCAAGCCTCAACTATCAGATGACGCATGTTTCCAGCTGAAAAAGAAGAAATATTTTAATTAATTTAATTTTATACACACACACATGCAAAATTACAAACAAGAAATTCTTAGTAAAATTATTACATATTAGGAAAATGTAACCATTGAAATGGTTAAATTAGGTCTATATGTAATCACACATTAACTGCTATTTGAATTTTGCTATTTGTAGGGCAGCTAGAAGAAGTTCTTAAAAATGAAATAATTCTACCAACAATGCCAAGCATCTTTAATTTTGTCTTCGCAAAAATCTTTAGCTTCTGAATGAAGCATCGTGCAAAGAATATATGTTGCTTCCAAAATAAAATAACAAATATAAAATGCAGAATCAATAAATTACGGGAAAAGTGAGTTGGTAGACCAAAAAATTTGATGTACCACAGGAATGGGACAACCCTTGGAGAGGGGGTCATGATTTTTCACAATTCAACTACTGAATGAGTTTCTAATTACAATCTTTAGCCAAAAAATGCTTCATACAGTAAATTGTTTTGCTTACAACTAATAAAAGGAAAATACACAACTAGTGCCACAGATATTCTAGACATCATACTCATTGACATATATCCTCACTAGTGTCTTAAATCGTTCAAAATAATTTGCAAAGGATGATATAGGTTTATTCTGTGTTCAAGGAATCATCTTCACCATTTTTTTAACAGGTATTCTGAGTCTATTGTACGAATCCTTTTGACAATGTTCACTATGTAGAGATTTCCTACATTCAAAATATATAAGTTATTTGTCTTTACAAGAAGAGGGTGACCAAGGTAATCAGGCCACAATGCCTTATAGACAATGACACCTTTTTAAAATTACTTTGAAAGCAGGCCGCTGTGAACCTTACGCAATTTGAATGGAATCAGAAACACAGAAGCAGACCAGACTACAAATAGCAGATTGAAAGCATTATGTTAAGGAGACTATGTGCCATTGCACAACTTCCTACTGTTGATACTTTCCAGCTGCAGATTTACTTAAAATAGATAACAGATATTACCTTTTTGGCGATCGGAAACATTATCATACACTACACATGTTTGGTTTTTACAGTTCCTCGCAGCATGTGAAATATGAGACACATGCTTTTCAAATTTCGAAGAAAATTGCAAAGAAACAGAAAATGCAAACAACACCCTAATAATGCACTGCTATAATTCAGACTAAAGTTGTCCTAACTGTTTAAGATCCAAATACAAATTTCTAATTGACAGTACCACTTACAACAGTCAACTGGCATCTCCGTAACGTTGAGGCAGTCAAAATATGCACTCCCTATTGCAATGCCAGAAACAAATAGCATTGCTTTTGCAGCAGCTTGATTTGCAGCAACGACGACAGATTGAGGTGGAGTGAGCAAGCTTTGATAATCACCCAAAACCTGGAGACTCGAGACTAAATCATTGCGACATTTTCCTGGAACCTTTCTCCCTCTCCAGCAATCAACGAGACCACTGTCTTTTTCGTCAACAGCTGTCCTTTCCTCCTCCTCCTCAATAAGATCACCAACAACAAGCGGTATGATACACAAGAGCATGCATAAGCGAGTATCAAGATGAGGCATTGGGCCATCAATAGGATCTCTTTCCTGTAAATGAAACAATACTTAAATTAAAGGATTAAACTACTTATGAAAATTCCTTAATTACAAATTGTCACAGGAAACAAATTGAATTGCAGAGGAAAAGTTATACCCTCTGAACAAGACGAAGGGTCGCCAACCAAAGGCCTAAAAAAGTGTCATGCCAAGAGGTGCCATTTATTGCTCGCAAGGTCTTTATCAAACCTACAAAAAAGTTTTCATGTGACAAGTACATGTATTAAAGGCCAAAAGACATATCAATTATTTCAGTCAAATTCCAATAACTATTTGAGTCTTACCACTAATTGTTTCAATAGCACTCGTTGCACTAACTTGATAGCCATCCATGGAATCCTCCAGCACCAGATCAAGAGGAATCCAGAGAGCAGAATGACTTGCACCATGACATAGTGAGGCAGAAGAAGAAAGATATTCAAACGACATAACAGTTTGGAACTTTTGTTGTGAATTTGTTTTGTATTCCCGAGACAAGACCAAACAAGAATCAGAAGTCAATTGCAGAAGTGCCTCAGGACTTAGAGTTCTTGATTTTCTCAATGCTAATGAATTTGCACCCAGCAGCTGCAGCCGCTGTGTAAAGATAAGCCAATGTGCAGGCCTGATAAAACAGAAGAAAGGTGCTGAGTAAATACCAACAACAATAACGAAGCCTTATCCCATTAGATGTGATTGTCTGACATGTCATTAAAAACAAAACCGGATGAAATTACTAAATTATAATTGTATGATATATAATTTCATGGATGCTTAGAAATCATTTTATTAACCCAAAAAAAATGGAATAAATTGACAAAATAGGAAATGATATGCCAAATCAGATTTATAGGAAATTTTTTAATGAACAGATATATTCTGATTGACAATGTTAACAGGGAAAGTTGACAGCATGTATTGGGAACAAATATAAAGAAAGTAAATACTCACAAATTTTGGCGAGCCAAGTAAAGAATCCTTGAAGATATTTTATCCTGTAAAAATTGCCCAATCATCTCAACAGCCATAAGTGTATTAGCATTTTGCAATTTCTCATGATGTTCAGTCTTTTTATCACTATAATTATCATGCCTATCCAGTTCCATGTCATGATATAGTGTAGCCCATCTAGACTTTTTGTCAGGAGTAAATTCCAGCAAGCCTTCATCATCCAATGATGCATCAAGCAACTGCCAGACAGTTGAAAAAAGAAATTCAACCACCAGAATGCCAGGCTCACTTTGTGACATGCCAAATATGTTGGAGAGTTGAAGAACTGCATCTATAGATTTCATGACCCTGTACATAGTATAGGCAAAAGAATTAACAAAAAACCAAAGCATTTGTTTTTACTATAACCAAAATTAAAAAATAGATATATCAGAACTGAAAACCGTAATATATTATATATATCAAATAACAAAACCATATCACGCTAAATTATTTATAGCTTAGAAAATATTTTACGTATAAGACATGAATAATCATGTCTAAATCAAACAAGAGTTGTCAAACTCGGTTTACTGCTGGTAATTTTAATCAACATAATCAGGTTCTGATGAGATAGTGATACAGCGTATTAGCACACTCAATTACTGCAGTTTTTGGTTGTCAATCATTAATGTAGTAGAAAAAAAATATAAATTGTCAAAGAAATAAAAGAATATGATAGAGATGTTAAAACCTTACAGTATGAGTAACGCGGAAAAATGTAAACAAGATGAAGCAAAAATTTATTAAAAATGAAGAATTACATCCATTAAAGCTCACTTTTGATAATCTGGCCTGTTGATCTGAGACTTAAGTTCAAAAGCATGTCTTTTAAGGAGTTCCAAGTATAGCCTATACGCTACAGGTTGGACATGTCTACATGGAATAACCCTGCCAAAAAGAACAAAGATACACGATATATAAACACACCAAAACAACAATACATCAGGAACACAGGCATATACATTTTGTTCAAAACTTTGCAGAAAAACAAGTCTCTATCCAACACAAAACTGTAATAATTAATAAAAAATTAAGAAAACTGCAAAAATATAGTCTATTGTCATGATGCATTGTCATGAGCAAACGATGAAGCTTACAAAGATGAGGACGCTGCAATTGATGAGTAAGCATATCTGAATGGGTAAGACTAAGAATGTGATTACTAGGGAGAAGATTGAAGTGGCTTCTTAAAGTGAAAAAGAATCGTGAAAAACCATTTTAAGATGGTTTGGCCATGAAAGAAGAGGACCTACACAAACAATTTCAGATGATGTACCATTAAATAAATAAGAAAAAGGGAGACAAGAACAGATACCATGATATACTATTAAGAAGTGTTTGGGTACATAAGACTTCATAAATCTGACACAGACAACATGTACTAAAATCCATGCAGCTAACCCCACCCGGCAGCAGGAGGAGGCATGGTTGTTTATGTTAAGAGAAATTAATACACTGCAAAAATCATTAAATAGATGCCATGCCAGATGTCTCAACGAAAGACTAAATATGGAAAAAGTTAAAAAAAAAAAAAAAAAAAAAAAAAACTAACATAGATTATCTCTGTTAGCACAATTAACTTCAAGAAGAAAAACGTCACTTATAATTATTTCGGAAAAAAAACTGCACCATAGATGTTTTCACGGCATCAATAGAAATGGGAGGTTAACAATTACATCCATCTACAGAATCATGATTATTCAGCAGCATCCCAAGCCGGATCCCATATGTTAAGTGTCGTGCATAATACACCAAAAAGAAAAAACAGTAACAGAAAGTAGTCACGGCGATAGAAGAAACGGTTGGCGTAGTAATAAATTAAGAAAACAAAAGAATAAAGAGCTGGATGAACAGTGATCAGACGAGAACAGGAAAATCGAAACCCCTAAGAATGAAATTGAAACTGGAAGAGAAAAAGGACCTGACGGAAAGGAGAGCGAGGAGAAGTATGGGAGGAACGATCTGAAGCGTCAATGCCTTTTCAAGAAACTTCCAGAGAATAGGGACATTGTTGTCCCAGCAAATGTAAGAGACCAGAAATTGAGCGAGTTCGACAGAGGGAAGAGCCTCTCCGGCGGAGTTCAAATTGGAATACATCTGAACGGCCCAGAGCAGAGGATCACTCCCCTTCTGCTGCGCCGCCTTGGTCATCTCCGCCACACCCTCCATCCCCACAATATCACTTCACCTCACGCCCACCATACATACACTTATCACAAACACTCTCTCTCTCTCTTCCTTACCCGTCTTCGCCACTTCCGATTCGTCACCCTCCTCCAATGTCACTGTATGTATCTATGTATGCAAATGCAATGCACTGCGTTGGATTTTGTCTTTTAAGTCAAACCTTTCCCCAAGGGTGTTCCAGGGATTTCGCCTTCGGGTATCTAGTTCCTCGAAGATCGTGACAAAAAAGTAAACGCATATACAAATCAACACCCCCCTTCACCTTCGCAATTCCCATGCTGCGTGGTCCTCGTCCTTCTGGTTAACAAAACTCGTAATCGTCCCAATTATATATATAAACAGACTTAAAATTATTGACACTTGATGATGATTTTAATGATACAACTCTGTATTTTTATTTTTTAATTTAAACGACTATATTTTATTTGGTAAGCTCAATTTTAATTAATGAATTGTATCTTTTAAAATGAACAATGTTCATACAACGTCCAAAACAATGTTCATTGGACTATGTAAACCCTAATTCAAATAATGGAATTATGTTATATTCTAGTATGTACTAACGAGACTTCAATTATGTTTACGTTAATCAAGATTACCTTTGCATTGCAACATATAAGAAGATATATTGATGAGGTCATGATTTGAGTGAGATGGATTGATTATTCATGTCCACGCTAACTAACTGAAATGATGTTACGTTGAACTAAAAGGGGTGAATTGTAATTTCACAAAATGGCACTTCCTTAGTGCAACATTTTGAATTTGAGAATGGTGTATGGCCTAATCATGGTTGGACAATTATGGGCTAAGCTAAGGCTATTATTATGAGTTTAGAGGGAGGAACTAGAGCAGTTGATATGTTATTTTGTCAATGAATCATTAACTCCAAAATCAATAAAACTAATATTTTATTACAATTAAGTAATTTTTTAATGAACAATTGTCTTGAACTGTAGAGCATGAACTAGTTCGGTTGTTGGGAGTTTCCAATTTATAAATCCAGAATTGTTATGATTTTTGTTTAAGGTTGAAGTTTTGTGGAGGGGGCTTTGTAAACTAAAGTGGTTAGGTTAGGTAGGGATGATGACATGGTGGCTGTATTATCCCCACCACAGAAAATGGGTCCAGTACATATGAAGTGGTTGGGTTGGGTATGGGTAAAGGTGAGTGTGAAAGGGTTTCTTCTTTATGCCCACTCTTGAATTGGGATAAGAAGGGGAACTCTAATGTCCACCTTCAATCATCCTGGAGTAGAAAATGTGGTCTCTCATTTACTCTTTTTTTCTATTTCACAAATATCTGGCCATTGGAATGGGACATGTTGGTAGGTGAGGACTAGTGCCTTGATCAGTTACCACTTCCTTGGCCTTTCCATGGATGGGACCACGATGCCATATGGTTCCACACCTGTTCCAACAAATAACATACAACATCTCATACTAAATTTTAAACCCTAAGTCGTAACAAATAGAAGATGGAAGTTATAAATGTTCAAGTAATAAATCCACCCAATATAACTCAGTACTTTGCCATGAAATTATAATGTGCCATTTTGTTGAATTCTTGGCCTGTCAAATGTTCAAACACATGGAGGGTTAAACTAGGTTTTCAAGACAAAGTGATTGCAATTGCAGGTGTAAATGTAATAAGATAAAAAGTTTGGTGAGACGGTTCACATATGCTTAACTGCACCACCATCTCAACGTCACAGTTGGTATGATCTGATTTGAAGGTGAGACAAATTGGATTAGATCACATAAAAAATCAAAATAAAAAAAGTTCATGATTCCTAGTCCCTACTTTATTAACATATAAAACAACTACTTTGATTCTGATACATGACCATTTTTTTTAACCTCTTAATATCCATTAAGATCCATCGTTAGATGATGGGTTTGGAATGAACCTTGATACCTAAGCCAAGACGGCAAAGGCAAGCAAGGAAGCATAATTGAGTAAAGAGGAATATAATGGAATTGAATAAATGTGAAAAAAAAAAAATTGATATAGTGGCTCACCTAAAGTAAAAGTTGGAATATTGTGTTGAATAAGGCCTCAAGATAGTTTTATGGTGTCCAATACCAACCAAAAATGGGGAGAGAGACAGGATATTGATTGATTGGGTGAGCGTCTTTGTTCACAAGTTTTGTTCTATATGATTGGGGATTCAATTTTTTGGAAATACTCTGTTTCTTATTCTTCAATTTTCGAAATTCACTGATAATATTAATTACTTTTCATCATTTAGGTCTTTTCTTTTTACCCAATATTTGTTCATGTATATTTTGTATTGTGTATTTACTATGATGTAAAATTGACGAGGATCAGATGAAAAATTTCTAACATTTTATCAAAATAAAGTAAACTAAATGCATTTTTTTTTCTTCATCATCTTTAAATATTCTTAAAATAAATTTGCGTGAAAATTTTTATGTTTGGTTGGGCATTAATTATCACGAACACTAGGCCAGGATTTGTTGAATTTCGTGAGCCATGTTCTTTTACAGTTTAAAGATGTATCTTTGACCTAGTGGGTTTCAAATTAATAATTCCAAGGTGATATAAAACTTGCGATAAGATAAGAAATTTGAGTCACGTATTTTTCTTGGCATACTTTTTAACTACTTGCATAAATCTCGATTTTATCCTCTCTCTCTTTTTTTTCTCTTTGTGTGAAAAAATTGGGACTAATGCACTACTCTTTTCAATCCTTATTATAAGGCAAAATTAAAATTGTTGGTTCTGTTTTATAATTGTAGATTTGTTTTCCTTATTTACCTGCGTTAAATATCATTTGTCTTTTTTGTATTAATAAATAGTGAAAAAAGTTTAAAATTCGTTAATGATAAAAAGCTAAATTTAGTATATTTGTAACATTTTTTAAATACTCAATTAAATTAATTATTTTTATTTGTATGTGTAGAGTGAATGTTTTATATCAATGCAAGACAAATTAATGATTGGGCACCCCAACTAGGATATCACCCCTAATGACCAAATCAGCTCACAAAATAATGCATTAAAAATAAAGAAAATAAATACAGAGAATGTGGGATCAAACCAAAACACATGGGAAAGAAAAACATCAAACAATTTATCTATCCATTTGATATCTTTATATGTGATACAACAAAATAATTGGATTTACAAAATTTTAAATAAATAATCCATATCTTTCTAAGATTTCCAATGAATAATATTAATATTAACAAAAGTTTTACCAACACTAGCATAATCGCACCCGATTCAGATATGATCTCAATCTGTCTCAAAATCATATCATTGAAAAGAACAAACATAAATTTAGCAAACAAGATAAGGTTCACACTCGTAAAGACAGAGAAACCACCGACATATTTCCAAATATAAAATTCATAACAAAATATTTTATTTTATTTCTAAATAACTATTATTAAAAATTTCTTTTTTAGATACTTTAAGTTACAACAAAACATATTAAAAGAAATATAATATTAATTACCACGTTAATTTCTACTGTGAAGAGTGTGAGGTGTCTAAAACTGAAGGCGTGTTAAAAATACAATGTTTCCTTTCCTTGAGAAAGCATTAAAAAGTACTTTTGTAAGTATAAGCCAATCTAAAGACCTAATCATGAGTGTTTGTTATGATAAACATTGACTAAGAGAAAGTTAATTATTACATGCACAAAATTCTAAAGCTAATATAATTCACTCTTAAACAAAATTATAATTATTCTACATGAGTTTATAAATTTTGTTTATAATTAATTTTTATATTAGCGAGTAGTATATGTTTTACTACAAATTTTCCGCCACAAATTTAAAACATAAAATATGTTTAAAAGATCTAAATTCACTATATAATGTTCTTTTGAAGAAGATTTTTATTTTTCAATATTATTAAAATTAACTACAATGTTTTATTGTATTGAGAGAAGGGATTTTTATCTGTGCGAAACAAACCCTAAACAACGTAGAAACATGTGAGAAATTAATGTTGTAATATACACTAAAAAAATCACTTATTATCTACGGATTCCGTAGGTAATGTTGACAAAATTGAATCCAAGTACCTTAGAGTTAAAGACCGATACTCCAATCACTAAACTATTAAGATATTTTGATAATAACTTACAAATAAATTATATTTATATTTATGTATTTATATATTTATGTATTTATATATTTATGTATTTATATTTATATTTATATATATTTATATTTATATATTTACACGAATAAATATAAGTATAATTTATTTGTAAATTATTATTAGAATATCCTAATAGTTTAGTGGTTATAGTATTAGTTTTCAACTTTAAGGTACTGAGTTTTGATTGTTGCTAGTAATGACATTATCTACGGATAATATCTGTAGGTAATGAATAACTTACATACAATTAAATATAATTTACCTACGGTAGTTTCGTAGGTAATTACCTACGGAATTATCCACGGATGACATTACCTACGGATAATATTCGTAGGTAATGAATAATTACCCACAGATAAAATTCTGTAGGTAATATCCGTAGATAATGTACAATTTACCTACGGATTTTTATCCGTAGGTAATGTAAAATTTACCTACGAATTTTTATCCATAAATAATATTTTGTAAATAATAAGTTTTTTTATAGTGATACTAATTATTTCATTCAATATAATCTATTATTATATTGTTTAAAACAAACAAATGTATATGAGTTTTATATTTTTATAATCGATTATAGACACTTATAATAAATTATAAGAGTTTTTATTTATTTTCTTTTCTTATAGTAATAAATAAAATATTAATAATAAATTAATCAAACTCAACAAGTTAATATTCATTCTAATTATCTTTCATTTCACTTAAAATAAATAATGTTGTTTTTTATTCAAATATTTTTTTTATTGTCTTTTTGGAGTACAAATGGACACGGGCCGAAAAGGCCCAAAAATTGAATAAGACAAACTAAGCTCGCTCACTGCAATTTCTTACTTTTCGAACCTCAGTTTTACTTTCGTTTGAGGATATCAGAACCTCGAATTATTGTAGTCCAAAAAATATGAACAGTGGTAATCAAACAAAAATATTTTTTTAAAGAACATGGATTTATTTTTATCATTTCTGAAATATTTTTTTGTGTTACATTGTGTATTTTTACTTTTTTTTCTTTACTTTTTTTAATTTAATAGAAATATTATAACATATAGTATACTATAAATAATAAAAACGCAACATGAAAAATATATAACTTTAACGAGGTAGTTAAATCTAATTCAAAATAAAACATAAAAATTAAGGGGTGATTAACTTTTTATTGGAGAGACAGAGACGACTAAAAGGTGATTTTAACCTTTAAATATATAACCATAGATGTCTTTCACTATTTTACTCTTTTTCTTTGGTGTAATTTTCCACGTGCCTTGATTATTAATTATTAATTATTAATTATTTCAACTCACGTATTTAAATCACCGAAACAAAAATGAGTATATTTCCAAAACAATTTCAGTCGTACAGTAAAATCCATTTTCAAATTTTGATTCTATACATATTCCTAAAGCTTCAAGTGTGAAATTGATTTGTCATTTTCATCTTGGAAGTAGAGTTGACATTTACAATGATTAAGATCAACCTTTCTCTCTGTGACGTATTCAGTGACGCTCTTACATAAATTTATTTGGTGACACCATTTGTAGTCAACTCTTTCCATGGATTTATTTGCTGTGCATCTTCTCTGACAAGACCATCCTCATCAATAGCTTATTTTCTGACCATGTCAAGTTCTCAGTGTTTTCAGAACCCACCTAACTTGAACACGGGTATCCATGGAACAGGAACTGTCCAAGAACTTGGAGGACTTAATTCTTATGTCACTGGATCTCCTGATTCCAAGTTGGCACTCATACTAGTTTCTGATGTATTTGGTGAGAAACCCATCTCCAATTTCTAATCTTTCAACCTCTTTTACAATATTATTATGATTAATTTGCCATTAAATTGTTCAAAAATATGTTTGCTGACTCAATCCTGAATCTGGGGGTATCTTGAAACCATAAAAAGTCAATCTCCATTCATGTTTTGGATGAAGGAAAGTGGAGGAATTTCTAGATCATAAAAACATATCACATTCTGAAGATACTTGCGTTATAAATCTAATTGTTAGTTGTTTTGGAATTATTTCAGGGTATGAAGCACCAAAACTAAGGTAAATGAAAATTTCCATGATAAAGATAAATACCGAGTTCCTTCCCATGATCTCCTCATTGAACTAGCATGCATGCACAAGAAAAGAATTCAAGATTACAATGAGGTTATAGATACACTCAAATATAAATCTGACCACCCAACTTCTCTAATGCTTCATTGCTGCATGAGATTTACTGTCTTATGAAATTATTTGGCATGAGCTTTGACTTTCTCTCTCTGTAAAGGAAACTCGCTGACAAAGTAGCAGCATCTGGATTCTTGGTTGTTGTTCCTGATCTTCTGTATGGTGACTATGCTGACCTCCATAATCCTCAGTTCGATCGAGATTCGTGGGGAAAGGCTCACGGAAAGGTTTGTAAATAGTTCAGTATGATCACTTATTTGACTAATGTTTAAAGGAGTTTCTTTGTAACAATGTGTTTGATATGTTCTTCATAGGACAAGGCATGTGAAGACACGAAGCCTCTAATTGCTGCTCTAAAGAGTAAAGGTGTTAAGTCCATAGGGGCTGCTGGTTTTTGCTGGGGAGGTAACTCAAATTTTTGCTTAGTCACCTTCATCGTGTCAATTCACAAGATGAAAAATGTTAAGACAGTATACGTTCTACAAATAATACAAGACAAAATCCAAGTATCATTTGTTGAAGTTAAACAACAATTCAATCGATCAAATACTTTTTCTATATAGTTAACAAAGGAGGAATTCTTATTTTTCAGATCAATTGATCGTACAGATTACATATCAAAGTCTCTCTTCTAACTCCTCCCTTACTAATTATTTGAATTGCATCCAATTTCTCTAATTTAATTTAATATCAAATTCTTAGAAAGTAAGTCCTTTATTTGTAGTTATCATAAGATTTTGCATGGGAAATTCAAATGGGTTCTGTTTTCCCTGCTCATGTCTCTTACATTGTTACACACAGGGCAATTTTCAATATAAACCTCAAGAATATGAATAACATAAATATTCTATTATTGGATTGTTTTGTTGTAAATTTTCTATGAACTAATGCATATAAATCAACATAAGATGTAAATTTACACAAAAAGAAAAAATATGCGAGTAGGTTACCTTATTATTAGCTATGTTGCAGGAGTTGTGGTTGTGAAATTGGCAATTTCCAGTGACATTCAGGCTGCAGTTATTCTGCATCCCGGTTCAATCTCAGATGATGATATTAAGGGTAAACTTGTGTTTTTCATTTTTCTAGTTAAATACATGACTTCAAAGATTTTTTACAAACATTCTTTAGTTTTTCTTCAGAGGTCAAGATTCCTGTTGCTATACTGGGAGCCGAAATTGACCATATTTTCCCACCAGAACGGTTGAAGCAGATTGAAGAAATACTATCTTCAAAATCTGAGGTGAGAAGAACTGGGGTAATCTTACTTTGTCGAAATTCTTTTACAAATTTGATTTTAAGTTTACCCTAATGTAGTGTCATGTGATAACATATATCCTAAAATTTCAAAGAATTACTAGGTGCACTTTCATCCAAATTGTTTATTCTTTTGTATCAGTGTGAGAGCTTTGTGAAATTATTCTCTGGTGTCAAGCATGGATGGACAGTGCGGTACGATGATGATGATGATGAAGGAACTATTAAGAGTGCAAAAGAGGCACATCAAGACATGTTGAGTTGGTTTATCAAACATGTCAAGTGAAGGTTCTTTTCATTTCTGTCTGTTTTTGAAATCGAATGTGAAAGATTAACCTTAATTTGAAGATTGTATGTTCTTAGTTGGAAATTATACAATTTTTATATGTTCTGAAAACATGATTGAGTTCTATGTCTGGAGTCCAAATTAAATGTGCTGCTATTTTGGCTTACAACAATTGCCAAAAGCTATTTATTACAAAGAATACACAAGTTGCTTCTGCTTGAAATGCATTATATGCATCTTAATACATAACAAATTTAAGTTTTATAATGCATAGGACATGTTTGGTTGAGAAAAAAATAAATATACGACTAAACAGTATATTTCTCAATTCAAGTTTGTTATTATACCAATAACCACCCATTGACAGTGCATATATATATTCTAAGTCTTACAATCCAAGTTCTCATATATTTTTTTTCTAAGTCCTCCTTTTTTTATTCTACCCTAAACAAAAAAATGTCGAACTCCAATAATGATGATGAAGGTTTGTTCACCCTCTCACACAATCCTCCCAAACAACGGAAACTCCTTCCATCTTGGTATTATAGGGTTGAGAAGGAAGAAGTTGATGAAGTGTATAGTAGAAGAAGAATGATTCAAGTTTCGAATTCTTGAAGACCAAAAATTACAATATCAATCAACATTCAACAATGACAATATAATTCAGACATTTATACATTATCTACTTAAAATCCTAAAAAACAATCACAACTTTTATATGAAAAATCAATTTAAATATTTTTTTTACTATTTCTTTTCCATCTTATTCATTACCTTGTATGGATATTACATAATATCGGCCCGAGATCACAAAATAAATATCGATGTAGAATTCGTTCGAGAATAATAATACGAAATCACAATGTTCGAATTATAAAAACAGTTATAAAGACATAAGATGAATGATGCAAAAAAAAAAAAATTGCAGCTCACAAGTACATTTCTTTGAAAATAACCCTTCGACAACGTCACAGCAGCAACATGTGATGCAAAATGCAATTTAGAAACTTGAATTCAAATTATAAAATGTCTTGAATACCCATAAAGTATTAAATAGGATTATTATATTTTTAATTAATCCAAACAAAATATCCTCAATCACTTAAGAGCTTCTCTCGTTAGCTAAAGAAGTGAATTGCTTCTTCATCTAAGTCGTTATCTACCATCAAATTTTGAAAATCAAGAATAATTTTCTATTTTAAGTTTGATTGAAGTGTTTATTTATTTATTTTTGCGTTAAAATATGATTGTTATCATTTAAAACTTTGGTAATTATATCATTCAAACTTTTTTCTTTTTTTGTTTAAGTTGTATAAAATTAGGGTGTCAAAATAAATTTAACATATGGATCTGTTCAAAAAATCAACAAATAGGTTAAATTATATAAATAAATTTGTGGCTTAAATTTAATCTGGTCTATTTTGTCTCTATCCATTATATGAGTTTAACATAGATTTATGTATTAATCTATTTTATAAAATAATAATTATTTTTAAAATAAAAATTGAAGTGATATTATTTTATTAAAAATATATTTGTATTATAAATTAATTTGATAAAGAAATAACTTATTCTATTTATCTTAAAAAATGAAGTATATAGATTTGTTGTATTACATTATTCTTAAGCAAATCATCATTTATTTTACTATAATAAAAAAGTGATTAAAAAATTTAAAAGAATTCATTATATCTTGATTATTTTTATAAGAACATATCTAATGAGAGTTGTTTGGTGAGATTCTTAAATAAAGTATGAGTTATTTCAAACAACCTTTCTTTGAGGAATTCTATATAGCATGATAAGTTACTTACATTCTTTTGATAGTTACTTTATTAAACAACTTACAAAAATAAATTAAATAAAGTAAATGAAGAGAGAATAGGAAATAGAATGGTTTCTTGAAATTTATTAAGAAATTTTTCATTAGAGTAAAATTAATAATGAGTTATTTAATAATGATGTGCTAAAAAAATCCATATTTTACATATATTTTTTTTAAGATGAGAAGCAAATCATATAAGTATAGCTTAATGAAGTAATTATATAAAATTTAAACAACTTATTATGTTAAATAGGATTCCTTTAATAAAAAATTGTTTGAATTAACTAATATTTTATTTAAGCATTTCATAAATCAATTCCTATTAAAGATATTCTTATATATTAAATAATTAAATAAAACTAATTTTATTAATATACTTTAAATTTTAAAAATATATTTTTTATTTTATTTTATCATACCAAATTTGACCCTAACATTGAACTAAAATTTGTGATCCATTTTAAAATATAAATTTTACTGTTTCATCAATGTTTTTTAAAAATTTTCACTTTTCATGAACTAGAATAGCTCTATATAAAATCAATTGTGAAGGACTCCTTTGTGATTTTAAATTACATACACACAATCCACTTTTCTCATATATCTATCTCACAATTTCTATTTAATCATAAGATAATAATAAATATATAGTCATTTTATAATTTTTAGTATTTTTAACTTTTGCATAGTCTGCTTTTACATGGTAATTAGTTATATTTTGTTATCTTTTAATCTATTTATTTATTTTTCTTACCGTTGCTCTTTGATATTATCTTTGTTAAATATAAATTATATTAATATGTCTTAAATTATATAAGATATAACTTTTTTATATAAACCTATAGTTTGTTTTACAAATATTTTTTTATTTGACTTTTTTTTAAAGATAATTAATGATACATAAAATAAAATATTTGTAGTGATAGATTTATTTTTGAGATATTATATTATGTTTGGGTGAGTTTCTTAGTGTGATTTAAAAAATATTTTTTTAATAGTAAATTTTGATAGAAAATAAAAATATTCTATTGATGTCGTATGTCTTATATATAGAAAATAAAAATATGATAAAGTATTAAATATTAATAATATATCAGTCATCATTTTTTTTTCTATTTTCCTGTAAAAGTTATGCAACTCCACTGCTCTTCTTCTGCATCTTCATAGATTTGTAAATTTGGTTTCTTGTCTTATCACTTCCATTCAAGATCATTTACCATATTTAAAAGTGAGTAATCATTAATATATTACATGTTCCTGCATTGAAATAACACATTAAAACCCAAATGACTTGATTTGAAACAGTTTTGTGAATATCAAATTAAGCTTCGAAACACAAAATCTAAAATGTATTTTTAGATTATCTTTTCCAGAAACACATTCTGAAACACCTATTTTAAAATGTATTTTCAAAAAAACTAATTCAAAAATACATTTTAGATTTGGTGTTTCAGAATATGTTTCAAAAAAATCAATTCGAAAATATATTTCAATTTTTTTTCCAAAAGATATTCTAAAAGGGTTTCAAAATACATTTTTGGAATTAATTATCCAGAAATGCATTTCAGAACTTATTTTTAGGAACATGTTTCTGAAAATTTGTTTCAAAACATATTTTTTTAATTTTTTTTCTAGAATTATATTTCCCATCCTAAAACGTTGAAGAGTAAAATAACTTGAAAGAGTAAAATAAGATTTAATTTAATTATGGAGGTGGAAGAAGAAAGTCCCAAAAAAAAAAAAAATTGTTGTCAATGAATGGGTGACATAAGTATGGGCTCTGAAAGGAAGGGTCCAACAAGGTGATAGTATCGCGGGCCCAAAACCTTTGATCGCTTCCAAACCCTAAACACACCTAGACTGAGTTATTTTATACTCGTCCTCCATTATAGTTTACCTTCTTCAGCACCCACGCCGTTCGTTCATCCACGTACTATCTCGGTAAGGTTTGATTCCTATTCCCCGGTCACGAAATTTGGTTCTGGAGTTTTCTGGATCTGTTTTATTATCCTTGTTATCTTACATTTTTACGATGCATAAATGAACCCTGAAGCCTTTTTTGGTGTTTAGATTCATGTTGTTATCAGTGTTGTATTTTAAGTTGTGGTAGCCAGGTAGAAGATACCCTCAACAATTTGTTAGTTTTCGCATGATTTTTTTTTTCCTGATCATGAAATGCATACACAACTTTAGTGCAAGTATTATTTGGTGTCTAGAATGATGTTTAGTATGTGATATATGACGGGTGTACAGAGTTCATGATAGCTTAGGTGAACTAGCGGGATGTGTTCATGCTGCCATCTGATCTCCTAGTTCAAGGGGCTTTTGCTACGGTGGTATTATGGGACTGTGGGGTTTAAGTGTTTTTGGAAATATAATATATTGTTTGTTGTCTCTTTAAACTTACATTGCTTGCCATAATGTTGTTTATGTCGTGTGGTTAATTCTTGTGCAATTCGTGACAGTGATAATGGTGAGGGTCAGTGTCTTGAATGATGCTCTCAAGAGCATGTACAATGCTGAGAAGAGGGGGAAGCGCCAGGTCATGATTAGGCCATCTTCAAAAGTTATTATAAAATTCCTCTTGGTGATGCAAAAGCATGGTATCTGTCATCCCTTATTTTTTGGATAATACCTCAATTTGATTGGTTTTGGGTTCATAAATTATGCTGTTTTTGCGTTGATTTTATTCTTTCTAGGATACATTGGAGAGTTTGAGTACGTTGATGATCACAGAGCTGGAAAAATTGTCGTTGAATTGAATGGTAGACTGAACAAATGTGGGGTTATTAGTCCCCGTTTTGATGTGGGTGTCAAAGAGATTGAAGGTTGGACTGCTAGGTTGCTCCCCTCAAGACAGGTCAGTTCAAAAGCTTTGTCTATTTTCAAACATAAGATATCTTCTTGTTTACCATTTTCAACTTAACACCAGCGTTGGAAATTTCAGAATTCAAATGGCCTGATTATTTCAGCAAAATAAATTCTGAATTATGAAACTATTTTTGAGATGGTTGAATTTCTATTTTTTTCTTCTAAAATTCGTATAGAAGAATGGACAGCTTTGAAATTGTGTCATGATATACGCATACAGTACCATTAGTCAGGTACTTAGGGACATTTGGGTTGGGCAAATATTTCCTGTTTTAAACTTGTATAGGTATTGGTATTAGTATTAGTAATACAGATAACAATTGGAGGTTTTTCACTATTTCTTCTTTGTACTTTTGAAAATTGAAGTAATACAGATAACATTTGGAAGTTCTTTTCACTATCTCTTGTGTAAACTTTTGAACATGGAGAGCAAAGTTAAGACAACCCACCAATTGATTCGAAGTATGATGCAATTTTGTGGTAAATTGTTTCTTCTGTTTTAGACACCACCAATAGATTCGTGTTATGATAACAATGTTGTGCCTGTATCTTAAAATTTTTATAAATAAGGGTACACGTAGGGACCTTTGAGACAGTTTTAATGTTGATCCGTAACCTTTGATTACTCAAAATGTTGCAGTTTGGGTATATTGTGTTGACTACCTCTGCTGGCATCATGGATCACGAAGAAGCTAGGAGAAAGAATGTTGGTGGGAAAGTTCTGGGTTTCTTTTACTAGTCTAGTTTCCTTTGAAAGATTTTGTGCTGATTTCAGTTTTTTTTTTTTTTTGGAACTCACCGTTGTAACGATCAATGTTAGACCCTTAGCTTACTAAGTACAGCATAGCAGGAGCTGTTTTTCTGATGTGCTTTGTTTGCAAAACCCAAATTGGTAGCTATAATTTATCCCATTTCATCGTCTTTAGTTTTCTTTGCCAAGATGTATTGAATCGGTATTATTATCATTACACTAACTTTAAAGTGTTTTAAAAATATAATAGTGCATATCCAACTAACTTTTTGAGGTTTAATTAGTTCAAAATTCAAAATTCAATATAGTATTATTGTAGTGATATATAGACAATTTCACGTTGTAAAATGGGTTGATAACGTATATTTTCTTTTATTCTATTTTACTACTCGTCCATTATTACTACAACACATTTGTAGATTTGGGGTTTTTGAAAATTTGTTAAGCTTTAAGCGGTAGGTCGATGGAGGGTTGAGTAGGAGATTAAATATTCAGCTTTGATTTGATGAAAGGTGTATGTTAAAAGGGTTGCGGGTTAAGTAGTAATTCCCACGCTTCACAAGTTACAGAGGAGTTACGAGCGTAATTTTAGATTAAGTTTACTTTGTTTTACTGTAAATTAGGTTGAAATTTTCGGTTTCTGGTTTTGGATTTCTTTAGTTTCTCAAAATGAATAATTATTTTCAAATCTTTAAACACCAAATTTGAAGAACTAAAATAACTTTTTTTTTTTTTAATTTGGGGTTTAAAACTGGTTTATTTATTAAATTTATTGTTTATGAACTAAAATTATAAATTTTTAATTTTGAGGAAGTAAAAAATTTCATATTTGAAACTAAATTTATAAACATTGAAAGTAGAACCGTACAAGTTTTCTCGTTTTTTGTTTGAAACATGTTTTTATGTAATGTATAAGAAATAGATAAAAAAAAAAACAATCGAGTTAATATTATATAAACAATATTAATATCTTCATATATAATGTCATGTTCCCTCTTCTCTCTCTAATCTAAGTAAGAGAGTAGGAAAAATTATTTATTTTTCTTGTTTTTTTCATTGACTCTCCTTCCCGAAATCTGCATATTAGTATTATTATTATCATCCTGTTGTTTAACTATAAAAGAAAATCTTTTTTTTTTTTTTTATGTTTCAAGGGCCAACTAAAAAGCATTTCCCTTTTGTTTATAGTATTGTGGTCTTCATTCAAAGTTTGACATATATGAATGTATATCCAGCAAGCTGGGAACTAATAATAATTTAGTTTTAGTTGTGCATGGGACAGCGATCTTGAGTATTTGGCAGAAAAAAAGAAGAAGAAGATTTGGAAGCACGTGATAAATAATTTAGATATATTTTTTTCAACAACAACTACAATTGTGGGGACTTGATGATAACGTTGTATAAATCTGAACCCAGTTTTGTAAATTTAAAAGAAAATGAATACTTTGACAAAAACTAAAATAACCAAACACTAATGTTTTTAGCACCTAAGACTCAATGATTCTAATATAGTACTATGTAGTACATTTCAAAACAGTAGGATAATAATTCAATCTTATTGTGTATTTAATCTAACAAAAAAAAACAGTGTGGTGGACCTGATTCACCAATTCGTTGACCTTCCTTAGATCATCTCTTGCAACCATACCATAAGAAACTACCCATATTTTGTCCCCATCTCAATCTTCTTTCTTCTCATAAAACTATTTCTTTCATTTTCTTCTTTTTTTTAGCGGACAAAATAAATTCACAGCCATTATGATTCTGCAAACATTTTTATTCAAGTTTATGGGGCAAAATAAACAATGATTCAGTTAAAAATAACACAAAAAACTAAATATTTTTAATAAAATTATTTTTTTAGTACCAGAGAATTCAAGTTTTGTTTTACTATAAATAACATAAGTCGGTCTGTATTTGTTTTATTCTTCAAATCATAAGCAACAAGGTATCTTTTGTTTGATGTAAGGTTTTTTACTTCTCTTAATAAAGATATATAGATTAGTTAATTTATTTAAGGACAAAACTCATGGTAATGGTGCTGCTAAACAAATTGGAGCTTTATGATAAACATTTATATTTTATCAATCCTATTATTTTGTTCATTGTATTTAAAAATAGTAGAATTTAATCTATTATGTAAAAATCACTATAAATTATGGAATACATACGGTTTTAGTTATTTATACTATCACAATAATTTTATTATTATGCTTAAATGCACAAGTAAAATACAATAAATACAACTATTTAGGGTAACTTGTTAACACATTAAAATTTAAAATATTTTTTAAGTTATCTCAATATTCTAATCTAGCCCATTAAATAGGTGTTTCGAAAAATTAGCCAAAAAAGTAAAATGATCAATATAAAATGATATACAGATATTTTTTTAAATAAAAAATGATAAAACAAAAAACTTAATAGTCTATAAAACCAATATATTTTTATAAACGATTTCAATCAATTTATAAAAATGAAAATAAAAGTACCAAATAGGATAATGTATGCGTAACTTTTAATTAAAATGATTCATAAATTAATCAAAACAACTCAGAAATATTTTACGGTGACTTTGTAAACATACTCATACTTTTGACGATTTAGTTTAATTTGAAAGATAAAGTTTGACATCACAAGTCTCCACATTATTTTATACATAAAAGCACCGATTCACAGTAACCCATGTGACGCACATGGCATTTGGAATTACTAAATCCTAACATTTTTTTTATATGACTATCAATCAAATGGATAAATACTTTATAATTTTTTTTATATTAAAGGGATTCGCTTAAAAAACAACATGAAACATAATCTCTATAAATTTACACTATTTTTAATAATTTTTTTTAAATATTAAATTATAGTATGTTGCTCAATCTTTTTATTTTTATCTAAAATTTAAAATCATACTTATATTTTTTAAAATTTCTTTTACACAAACCATTATCCTAATTATTTAGCAATTTTTTGTCTTGAAATATGAGACATGGAATGCAGTATATTAAATTAGTGAATGTTGTTGTTGTTCTTATCAAAACTAGAAGAAAACTATTAAGACTAAAAGAAAATGCAACATGCAACATCACTTTGAACATACCAAAAATGGATTAATACAATACAAGTGGCCACTCATGCTATATTGGTAATTTTCTTTCTGAAACATTCAATAATATTTGTAAATTATTGGTTATCTCTTCCTATAAGCATATAAATTGAAATCTTACAATTGATATTTTACTGCAATTAATCTTTATTGCTCTTAATTTGTTTGGATTACCTTCTCCTTCACTTTTCACTTTCTAATGAACAATCATAAGAAACATGTATTTTTCTTCTATCTTTATGAATCAATCACAAGCTGGTTAAGCAACAATTATTGACTATGAGGAAGCAATGCCACAAGATTCAAACAACCCCTTCCACATAATATCTTATCCAATGTCTTAGACGAAAGATGAAATTAAAAATGAGAAAATAAATTAAAAGAAGGGAGAAATTGAGTGGCAAAAACTCACTCCTAGTTTTTCTGCAACCATACTCTTCCTTTCTTTACAATCACACTCATTTTCAAAATTATTATAATATTATTAATTAAAAATGGTAGTGTTATTTTACTCCTATTCATCACTTTGTGTCTCTTACACTTTCTAAAGCTCTGCAGCACAATCTTCTTCAACTTGAACTCCTAGTGCACGGTTTGTGTGAGATCCAAAAGTTTATGTTCCTTTATTCACTCCCAATTTTCCATCACAATCTTCTCTTTCAATTCCCCAATTTCGAGATTCTTATTCTGCCAAGCTCCACCCTTTGTTCTACGCATCTATTTATTCATTTCCTTTAGCAGCGTTAGTAATTATCGCCGTAGCAGATCCTCCAAGATTAGTTTTTTCCGCTGATTCTTAGCTTAACGCTTTCACACTCCAGCTTGATCTGTGTCCTTGGCCTTTTTCAGCTACATTTCTACTCTTTCTCCATTTGTTTTTAGCTTTTGGGGTTCCTTGTTCCCAATTTTTTTATTCTAACACAGTTGTGTGCAAGTACGAGTTCCTATTTTTTTAATTGCAGTTGCTGTATTCGTCGCTAAACTTTTTCTGGGTCGGTTTTGTTGTTGAGCTCCGTTCAAGTTTGAACTGAAAGATTTTACTTTTACCTTTTTCTTGGTTTGCATTTTGAACACCCTCTTTTGATCTGGGGCGTTCTGGTGCTGCTGGGGTTGTCTCTTTATTTTTCTGGGGTTTTGTAGTGGAAGTGGGAGTTTGGGTGATCTGAATTTGAGTTGAGGTGAGGGGTTTGTTGGATGCACCTACTGGCTAAATCATTTGAAGGTTTTTATGCTTAGTTGCAAAGATGCATCCTGATCAGAGAAAAAAGGTAAACTTACTTAACTGATACATATGTAGCTTAATTTGTATTGTGTTGTTGATTTGTAGTATTCGGAGAGAAATTGGGAAGGTGTTGAGGGTACTGGATGCCCCCTGTGTTGAGTTCTGCATCTGTAGGACATGGGTAGAATTTGTATTTTTTATGATTTAAAAAATGTATTTTTATTTTTATTTATTTTTTTAAATCATACCATCTAGTGTGGGGCTCTAACTCTTCCCTGAAACTACTTTTTTCTCTCTTTTTTGTTTCTGGAACCGTTTGTAGTTAAGAAACAACGAGTCTAGCCAATGTCTATGTTTCTCCGCCATATGCCTAAGTCTGTAGTGTAGGTTTATGAGGGTCTGTAGTGTAGGTTTATGAGAGATCCTGCAGAAAGTTTTCCATCATTTAAGATTTGGTTTTCTACTTTTTTGGTTTCTATGGTATCTGCAAACTATTGCAATGGATTATTTTAGCCCCCACCTCACCTCCTTTATGTCTAATTTCATTTTAATATTACAAAATTACTAACAAGTGATAGCGGTGTTTTGTTTTATCTTCATAATTAATCTTTTATCCCTCTAAAATCTAATTATATCAAGCACATTTGGGATTTAAAACCTCCTGAAAATGTTCTTTTTTTGGTTAGCAAATCTAATGTACACTCCGTGGATTTTGTGCAAATTTAAATTAACTATCTTGATACCCCATCTTTAAAAACTCTGGACCTACTTTCATCCTCTATCGTTCATGGTTGGATGCAACTTTTAGACACTGATCTAACAACTTACTGGTATAAAAATATGGAACATTGTTTTGTTTCCCTTCATTTAAAGTATTGATGTTTTTGGTCATATAAACCATATGTTGACTTGGAGTTTGCTTATTATAATAGCGTGGTTTGTTGTGTTTATGCAGTCATCCGTGGATGTGGACTTCTTTACTGAATATGGTGAAGGGAGCAGATACAGAATAGAGGAAGTAATTGGTAAAGGAAGCTATGGTGTTGTCTGCTCTGCATATGATACACACACTGGCGAAAAGGTTGCAATAAAGAAAATCAATGACATATTTGAACATGTTTCCGATGCTACTCGCATTCTTCGTGAGATTAAGCTTCTTAGACTTTTACGCCATCCTGATATTGTGGAGATCAAGCATATTCTCTTACCTCCTTCTAGAAGGGAATTCAAAGATATATATGTTGTCTTTGAACTCATGGAATCTGATTTGCATCAGGTCATCAAAGCTAATGATGATCTGACGCCAGAGCATTACCAGTTTTTTCTGTATCAGCTTCTTCGAGGCTTGAAGTATATTCACACTGGTTAGTTAGGGGATCTTTCATAGATTTTTGCTGTAGCATATATATTTCTTATTGTATAAAACTAGTTGTTATGATTATTTTGGCTAATTTCAATCATTTCTATGTACTTGTAGCAAATGTATTTCACCGTGATCTAAAGCCAAAGAACATTTTAGCAAATGCTGACTGCAAGCTGAAGATTTGTGACTTTGGTCTTGCCAGAGTGGCTTTCAATGATACCCCCACTGCTATTTTCTGGACAGTATGGATCATTTTCCTTGGAACTAATAGACTAATACCTTCAATTAAACGTTGCTCTCCTTCTGAATTCATTGCCTCTTAATTCTGTCCTTTTGCTTGCAGGATTATGTTGCTACAAGGTGGTATAGGGCTCCTGAGTTGTGTGGATCCTTTTTTTCCAAGGTGCAATAAATGTTATGACTATTATTTAATATCACCAAATTTTATCAAATTTAACTTTTTTTATGTAGCTATTGTTGATTTACTTAGTCAAAAAGTTTTATTTATTGTGATGAATGTATCAACTACCAATTATAAATTTTAGCTATACTAAATAATTTATTTACAACAATTTTTTTTTCTCTAAGTAGGTCGGCTACTGGTGCCATGATCTTCTAGTATGATTGTATCTATTCATCTATCTATTTGTCTGTCTATCTATCTGCCTATATAGACAAGCCATTGATCTGTATATCCTTCTTGTTCTAAATCGTTTCTATTAGGGGTACCTTCCATCTGCCTTACTCTTCTAACTATGTCTTCTACAGTCTTCTCCACACATACCTAAATTACCTAAGGCAAGATTTTACCTTCTTTCGTTGGTGCTGCCTGAACATTCCCTCTAATGCTCTCACTCCTATTCCTATTGTATCTAATGTGCACACAGTATTCTTATCTCTACAACATGGAATTGTTTTCTTTTTGGCTCTTTACCTTCTTCCAACATTCAGTTCCATACAACATTATAATTTCATAAGTTTATAGTTGTGTGGAAGAATTTTGCATAGTTTGAGATGTGCCCTTTTTTCACAGATAACACTTGAAGTACTCCTCTATTTTATCCACCTGTTATGGTTTACATCCATGTGCTGTACTAAAGAATGTGTGTTGCTCCAAAATTCCAATTCATGTAAAGTATAATTAATTTGAAAATAACTACTAAGGTTGAAAATATAAAAAAATTCCATACCATTCCCCCACATCTGATTTGTCATTTGCATGAGTTTAGTAAAAGTACCCATTTTGTCTTTTGGATATTGGGCTGTTTCCATCAAATATGGTTTAGCAAGGTCTTTTGATGTCTTATGGTTAACTCTCAGCTGGTGTTATTCTTTACTCAGTCTCTAGTTTTCACCGGGGTACTTGTGTTGAAAAATTATATTTTCATAAATTTTGAGTTTGGTCTTTATCTCATATAGGACACTTTGGACCTCAACAACCTGGTTTAGGGTCACTTTTTACTTTTAATTACATTATAAAATCTATTCTGGATAGTTCTATGTTTTAAATATGAGTCGGTGCATATCATTGTTTGTTTCATATTCTAAAGCATTATGTTGATCATGTTTGTGGGATAAAAATGGATAATATTTCTTTGTTCTTAATGATTTATTGTCTGATCTTGGGTTTAGTAAATAGGTTTTATCATAAACTTTTGCTTTTCAGTATACACCGGCTATAGACATATGGAGCATTGGCTGCATATTTGCGGAACTTTTGACTGGAAAACCTCTTTTCCCTGGGAAGAATGTTGTTCATCAACTAGACCTTATGACTGATCTTCTTGGAACTCCATCTCCTGAAGCCATTGCTAGGGTCTGTCGTTCAGTTTCCCTTTTGGCATTTTTGTTTTTTGTTTGTTCTATTTAGTCACTTCATGCAACCTTGGTATCATATTACTAGGTACGAAATGAGAAAGCTAGAAGATACTTGGGCAGCATGCGTAAGAAGAAGCAAGTTCCTTTCTCACATAAGTTTCCAAATGCAGACCCTCTTGCTCTTCGTTTGTTAGAAAGAATGTTGGCATTTGAGCCTAAGGATCGGCCTTCTGCCGAAGAGGTTGGATTTTCATGTCCATCTTTCTTTAGTTCACTTGCTCTGTTATAAATGGTTAATAGGTTATTGGGTGTATAATAATGTTAGGCTCTAGCGGATCCATATTTTAAAGGCTTGGCCAAGGTTGAGAGAGAACCATCTGCTCAGCCTGTTACCAAGATGGAATTTGAGTTTGAGAGACGCCGGATAACAAAGGAAGATGTACGAGAGCTTATATACCGAGAGATTCTGGAGTACCATCCAAAGATGTTGAAGGAATTTCTAGAGGGAGCAGAGCCAACAGGTTTCATGTATCCAAGGTATTGTCTAAACCTTTACCTAAATTTTTGTTTTACACCTCATTAACATTTCATGAACAACATAACATATTTGGGTGTTGCTTTCACCTGATATTGTTGCTTAACAGTTTATATATTTGGACGCTTGTGGGTTTTGCAATTTTCATTTTCACTTCTATACTGTTTAGACTTGAGTTATGGCTAAAATAATCAAATTTATTATAGAAGAAAATACAAAAGAAAATGCTATGACAAGCCGTATGTGAAGAAAACAATCTCCACTGCTTTTTTATCATAAGGTTAAAAGCCACACGATTTTAAGGTTTCATGTTAAGTTCATAGATTTGAAAATAACTGATATATGGATAATTTCTGTTCAATGCTTGCTGCTAATTTCTTTTTTGAAATAAATTACCTCTTATGTTTTGATTAGATGAAATTTTGACTACAAATTGATTATTTATGGGCTCATGAATTTGTGATTTTCAAGCATATTTTATTTAAATTGATGTATTTTAGAATTGACTGGTTTTGTTACCCTAATTTTTCTGAGCTTAGCTTTTGCTTTCTCCCCCTGATTTCTTTTCTAAAATTCTATTGAGTAGTGCTGTGGACCACTTCAAGAAGCAATTTGCATATCTTGAGGAGCATTATGGCAAAGGAGGAACTGTTGTTCCACCTGAGAGGCAACATGCATCATTACCCAGGTATTCTAATTTTATGTGACTCTTTTTGGAAATTGTTGCGTTCTTCTCTGGCCATTATTCTTTTTATGTTGTCAAACTCCAATATTGAATACTCCGGGTATCTGGTTTGGAATTGCCAAATCCACTGATTTGTTGCTGTACAATGCAGACCTTGTGTGTTGTATTCAGACAACAAAATACAGAATACGTCGGAGGTTGCAGATGATCTATCCAAATGCTGCATCAAAGAAGTTGAGAAACAGCCGGTAGATAGGAGTACTGTTATCCCAATGTCTCGGCTTCCCTTACAAGCACCTCAAAATATTCCAGGTGTGATATTGACTTACATGCATTTAACCCCCTTCACTGTTTCCCTTCTTTCTTCCTATTTATTGGACACACACATGACTGGCATTATCTGACAAGAGGGTTGTACCTTAATGAAGCTTGTTTCATTTTAATTCATCTTCTTTTAACCAATAAAACGTTATTTTTGCTTCTTTGTACACATGTACTTCTTTCTTTGCCACAAGCTGAAAGCTGTGGGTTCTTTAAATTTTTTGTATGGCAGTATTGGGTATTATAATGTAATTTTCATTCGATACTTGCTATGGATTTAAAGTACTATTCAATGTACATTTGTGGCTCACTGTAGGTGTTGCAGCAAGGCCGGGTAAGGTTGTTGGTTCAGTGATGCGATACAACAACTGTGGGGTAGCAGTGACGGCAGAGACTGAGCAGCGGAGAGTAGTCAGGAATCCATCTGTTTCAGCTCAGTATGCTGCGTCCAGCTGTTCGTATCCTAGGAGAAACACCGGCTATAAAAATGAGAGGGGGACAGAGGATGAAGGGATTGAAGGTTCAAATGGACTGCAGCCAAAGCCTCAATACATGGCAAGAAAAGTGGCTGCTGCTCCAGGTGGACCTGGTGGTCAGTGGTATTGATATTCCATTATATAGAATCTGTGTGGCCAACTAGTGCCTTGTATTGTTCCATGAAACTCTGTTAGAACCTGAGTTTCATGTGTTACACCTAATCTTGATCATCAGAACCGAAATTTCACACATGAAGTATCAAACAAGGGGGAGAGCTTAAGAGACTCAAGTCCCAATGTTGAAGTGTCTGGAGGTTGATTTCTAATTCACGCAATTTGCATCGTCAATTTGAAGGCTTCGCATGGTCCAATTGATGATTTTGTTGCACTCTAATGAGTTAACAACAGAGTACACTAAAGATCTGAAAAGCCATTAACTTGAAGACAGACTGGTTGCTTCATTGCAGAACTATCGTTGTTACTTATACCTAGTATTACTTGGATACCATTACCAAGATAATGTATTTTATTTTTTATAAAAGACATATAGCCAAAGTCACTCTCTTTGCCCCTTTCTCTATGCTACATCTTTGCTGTTAGGAGCTTAATTTGATGTTTAACATAAGAAACTAGTGTTGTCCCCCATGAAATATTAACTCCTTATTTCACACCTATGCTTACTGAATTGCAATTTGCACGTGTGCACTCTGATGTCGTGGGCCTATGAAATCATATCTTAATATGGACGAAGTGATGCCTATATACAGAAAACAACAAACTAATCCATCCAAGAGATTAGGAAACGGTTTATTTGCAGGCCAGACCCTGTTTGTGGGATGGAGGGGTTCCTCTGCCATTCAAACTTCACAAGACAAATGCAGCAAACCGTTACTCACTAACTCATCACATTCATTACATCTTTTTCTACCAAACAAGTTTTCATTTTTCACGAATAGGGTCAAAACATTTACAGTCTGACCCTTGGAAAGGCATTTTTTCACTACCTCATCAAGTCAACAATGAGTGAGTAGACCGAAATACCGGTTTTGAGTATAAAAAGCAGTAAGTTGTAGAAAGAAAGTAGTATAGTTCTGATTAACTTTTATTACATCATCGATCTGTGATATGTGATGTGGATGAGCAGTGGTATTTACAGCGAGTGCTCGATGCTCCGCAGGCTCATGTGCACGACTGTTCCCCGTCTTCCGTTAATCTCATCGAAACCAAAACCTCACATTCTCAATTCCCTCGCCCAAAAACCCCTTTCCAACGCCATCAAATCCTTCTCTTCTTCCAAAATGGGGGACGCTCGCAGACCCTTATCCGTTCCCATCCCCACCTTGGACAAATCCGAGCGCTCCGACCTCCTCCGCGCCCTGGAAGCTTCCCTAGGCTCCCCCTTCAGCTCCGACCCTCTCTCTCCCAACCCCAACCCTCTCATCATCGTCATAAGCGGCCCCAGCGGCGTCGGCAAGGACACCCTTATCGCACGCCTCCGCGAGGCCCGTCCCGGTCTCCACTTCGTAATCACCGCCACCACACGGCCGCGCCGCCCCGCCGAAGTCGACGGCAAGGATTACCTCTTCGTCTCGAAGGAGGAGTTTCTCGGGATGGTGGAGCGGGAGGAGCTGCTCGAGTACGCCCTCGTCTACGGGGACTACAAGGGAGTCCCCAAGCAGCAGATTCGAGACTGCCTCGCTAAGGGCTGCGATGTCGTTCTTAGGGTCGACATTCAGGGCGCCGCCACGCTCAGGAAAGTGCTCGGCAAGTCGGCGGTGTTTGTCTTCGTGGCGGCGGAGAGCGAGATGGCCCTGGTGGAGAGGCTCGTGGACCGGAAGACGGAGACGGCGGAGTCGCTGCTGGTGAGAATCGGCACAGCGAGGGAGGAGATGAAACATGTGAAGAATTTTGATTATGTTGTGGTGAATGCGAAGGGGAAGCTGGAGAATGCGGTGCAGTTGATGGAGTCTATTATTAATGCCGAGAAAGCTAGGGTTTCGCAGCGGACTCCTCTCATATAACGGACACTCACATGGTATGCAATTGAGAACTAGTTTTCTGCGTAGTGGTGCATCATGGGATTTGATTTGTTGGCACCATAAATAATCTTTCTGAAACGTTTTCTTATACTAATTTGATATATTGGTGAGGTTCTTACTCTTTGAGAATGAATTTGTCTAATCGCCTGTTTGTTGGAAATTGCACATTAGCTAGTGTTAACCAAAATAGTATATATGTAAGAGGGAGACATTGGGTTTGAGTTAAACCCAGAATCCCAATTCAAAGAGTTTTTCATTGTGGAAAGGATTGGATTGTTCAATTGGTGTTTGAGGGAATGACTGTTCTGCAACCTCAAACCTGGAATATTCATTCTTGAGAAACTAGTTTGAATATTCCAGTACACGTATGGCAATTTTTAAACAATGGTATATACAGGTACCGAAGGAAGGATATATAATGTATATAAAGAACATAAACAATAAACCAAGTCACAGGATGTTTCATATATGCAATATTTATTATGTTCTATTAAGTTCTCAGCAGAACTCCATGAAATATCTCAAGTAAGCAAAACATCTGAAGAGGCAAAAAATGATTTGAAGATATGAAGTAGCTGGTTGTTCATTTCATAGTTCATACAACGCAGTATAGAAATTCAGTGCTTTGCATGGACTGACTTGAAGTTGAGTGATATTTTCTCATTGCAATGATTAATCGGGATGTGCCCAAAGGTATTTGAAAAATTTGGAACAAAAATATGGTGTTTGAGTGATATCAGCTCATTGTAATGCTTATATTTGCTTATGCCTGGTAGGGTAAACTTTAGATAGTTGGTACTTGCTTTGCTAAACCTAGGTTAAAATGAGTGCCTGCTACATTTGCATGCTACATTTACCAGAATTGGATTGTTATAAGTTGCACCATAAGTTTGTGAATGGAGGTGACTTCATTGAATATCAGAAACACATTTTGCACGGTGAAATTATGGAATTATGAATGCAAAGTTGAGATTGTAACAGTTCGAGTATGAGATCTTTTTTATTATGAAGATGCATTCTATGCATGGGTGAGTTTATTGTATTTGGATAAGCTCGATCTTGATTGTAAGTAACAGTATTTTCTATTTATTTTATTTTATTTAAAAAGTAAGAACTTTTCCACTACTAGAAACTAGTTTTTTTCTGCCAATTTTCTTGCAAAAAATTGTTTAAATTTATAGAAAACTTATTTCTTGGAATTTTTACAAAAACTTTACAAAAATATTCCCATGAAAAATGAAAATTTTTAGTAGTGTTCCCGATATTTTTATTATATGGATTGCTATCAACTGTGATACATCTCATGCCGGGAAGCAGTATTTTGTAACTCCTTGTACTATAAAGAACTTGAATTCTGAATCATCAGTATTTCATGAATTACCATTTCCTTTTATTTTCTTGGCTAACACACAAATGACTTTAAGGTCATGTTTCTGGTACTTGTGACCAAAGGAAAGCACCAATACTTTAAAGTAGTAGCAAAGTCTGGGCCAGTATCTATGTTCCACACTTACCAGCTATTTTACACTCCTAGTTTCTTTTTACAGTTTTTCAGTTCTGTATTTTGAACTTCTATATCAACATAGACCGGATTACAACAATGGTATTTCAGTTGTACTTGTTTGATAATTTTAAGAATTGCCATATGTCTGTCAACATTATGTTGTATCAGTGCTTTCAAATTTGCAAGCTCCAAAGTGTAATTGACTGTATTATTATTTATTATTGCCATTTTCCTGTAGATTTTATGACGGATGATAAAGTGGGGATGATAGTAAAATTTTAGTTTGTGAGATCTGCTTATTGCTAGTGACGAGGTTGATGTTCAGTTGTTCCTTTCCTACAACTGATGTCATCAGGAGAATACATGATTGGGGTAATGCTAGAGGTGATTCTTCAAGCGCCACAAAAAAAATGCTAGAGGTGTTCTTGGGGAATACAACTTTTAATTACAATGCCTAATATCATTTATTTAATTCGATGATCTGGTTGGACAAAGTAATGTAGGAAGCAAATTGAATTTAGTAGATGAAACATTGAATTGCACTGACAAAGATATCTTTGATACAACATGTAATCCTTCTTATGGGGTGATTCAAAGCTCAAACTTAATCAACAAAAGGTCTTTCACTTCTCCTTTTATTCTGTTTAAACTGTAATGTTCAGGTATGCGGATTGAACAGGTGGGAATGAATTAATTTGTATACTTGTTCTAATTCATGCAGTAAATGTGGAAAATTAGACTTGGTCTAATTCTCAGAAAGTTTCTATATATATATATATATATATATATATATATATATATATATATATATATATATATATATATATATATATATATATATACTTTATTTAATTTATGATTTTAAAGAAATTGATATTAAATAGTTTCTATAAGTTATTTTATACATAAATTAATTTTAATTTATAATTTTTAATGTTCTTCTAACAATATTTATCCGAATATATCTGTAGTCTCTTGGGTCACTTTTGTTATTACCTCTTCAATTTTATACATAACTAAATAATTTTGCTCATGTGAAGCAGATTCTTGGTCTATCATATTCCACCTCAGGTCCTTCTAATCGTTTACAGAGTCATATATGATCTGGGTTTTAAAGATCTTATCTCTATTTCTTTCTTTTACTGATGTGGATTTGATGATTATATATATATATATATATATATATATATATATATATATATATATATATATATATATATATATATATATATATATTTGAATTTACTAAATTGATTAAGTTTTTTTTTACGTAATGTTAAAGAAGTTTTTTCGTGGAAGTCATGTCTTAATTATATTAGCAGTGGTGGATGTTTTAAAAAATAAAATAAAAAATTGGAATTTCAAAGTTCTTAAAGGAATGACTTGGTCCGGATTGAAAACTTTGAAGAAATATATTTGTAGAACATGGCAAACATGATCAAATTAAGTTATAAACATATAGAACAACTCTTAATTTATAAAAATCTGTAGAATTAAATCACGAACACATTTAAGAAATGATCTAAGATGATTGATTTTTTTATTTAGTTATCAAATAAAGTTAAATTAAAATTTAACATTAAGAAATATATTTAAGAGAACTATTTAAATTAATAAGTAGGATTAAATATTTAATGTACAAGATTAAGATAGGACATGTTTTTTTAATAAGAATAATTCTTAAAAATGATTACAATTAATACAATTAAAAACAGCTTTAAAAAAAAATTTAACATTTAACTTTTAAAAATGCTTATTTCAATTATATATCCCAAAGAATTGTCATTTAATTTAAATATAGATGTAAATTAAAACTAAACTTTGTTTTAATCTCTATGTCTTATCAATATAAACAATATATTATTAATAATTAAGATATATTATGGTATGAGTATAAAGTTAACGAAATTACCCTACATAATAAATTTTGATAAGGTAAAAATCTTTTTACAGTCTCTTAGAAGTGATTCAGCTGGTTTAAAGTTAATACTATAAAATGATTAATCATTAATGATATCTTTATTTTGTAAAATAAGAATTGCAATCATAATTTAGTAAGAACACATTATATATATATATATATATGCATTAGCTTAAAATAAAGGCAAAATATTCCATAAGTAAAAATGTATGGTCAGGGTTACTTGAAATCAGAAAATCTACCTTTTATTTTTTTCTAATTTATATGGTTCTTATTTCTTTGTCCTTTTTCTTTCTTTTTCGTTTTTTGTACGTAAGCTTTTTTTCCCATAAAAAACATTGAAAGAAGATTTCAAGACTTTAACTTCTTCTCAAAACAAGCTGTCTTTGTCTATCTCTCTCTTTTAGACCACATGCCAGACCCTAGTTTGTTGGATGAAAATTGTCCCACCATTTACATATTCTTATATTATGTTATGGTAATATACATTGTTTTTTAAATTTATTCAGATATTTTTAAAAAATAAGATGGAGATGAAGTTGATGGTGAAGTCAATACTATCTTATTTAAACTTAATGTTTTAACACCTACATGAATCTCCAACCACAAACAAATGATTATGAGACACAAAATTTTGTATCAATCTTAACCAATTTTTTCATTTTTTAGCCTTAATCAATGTTTTTATAATTTTCTTTTTAACTGCATAAGATGTGTAACACGCATGAGCAACGTAATTAGCCATAAGCCACGACTATGTAAAGTAACGCATTTTGAATGAAAAACTGTGACATGTGATAATGATTTATTCGTGCACTCCAACTACAGAAAGAGTATTCCCGTGTGACGTAATTTTAGACAAAATATATAAACAAATTTTTATGTTACTTTACATTTACATGCTCTAATTTTTGCAAATATAGTGAAAAAGATTCTAGTTCACATGAATTCATGTATATATATTTTTTAAATAGTAAAAAACAAGTTATATTTAACTTAATTATATAACAAAATTGTATGTATTATATATGATAATTTAATTATATTTTTTATAATATATTAATACGAAAGGAATTAATAAATGGAGAATAAAAATATTCTTTATGTATTAAATTTTTATAAGGATAATAAAAAAATATTAACTTAGTATATGATTTAATTGCTTTAAGTAATTCACTTAATTTGTGTTCTAAAATTAGACTAGGTTTTTGTGTGAATTTATGCAGATAGACTGGAATAAAAGTAATTTCAACATTTAGTAATTTTTTTTATATTTATAGTGTTATTATTTTTTTATAATATTATTATACCACTATTGTTTTTGAAGAAACAAAAATTACTATAGTTAGTCATATATATTATTCTACTATTCTGTCTTTTATCATGATTTATCATTATTCGTAAGTTGTATAAAATTTTATGATAACATTACATAAAATTTAAATTCTTTGTAATTGTACAATTTGATTGTATGAATATTTGTTCAACACATGCAGAATTTTTTTCCTAGTTGATTTCGATATTGTCAGCAGTGCCAGAACTTCTATTTCCACGGTG